ACATAGAATTAAGGCAGTTCTGAAGGCGAAAGGGGGTCAAACACCGTATTAGTATGGTGTTCCTAATAATCCTTTAGGTGAGTGTATATTTGCACAAGTTATGTTCGCATGTTCAGTTTTCTCACATTGCATTTAACGCGTGAAAACCTTGTGTTAATTTGGTAAGAGTTACATCCCTCTAACAGGCAGAAACTTACCACTTTTTCAATTTGATTCTGTTTATTTTATATAGTGCCTTTCACAAGCGGACCCAAAGCACTTCACTAGAGCGCAGCAATCCATTACGGCACCGCTTATACGAAATTGTGCACGAATCAGCGACAAGGGACGAGGAAGTTAAAGAAAGTCAGATGACAGGGGAGGAGAGGAACCAAGAACTTGGTAGAAAAAAACCTCCGTGGGTCCAAAGTAAAATAGCAGCCCCCCCCCCCGCATACCAGCATTACAGAGGACACAGTTCACCCTGTTCTAGCGAGATGGAAACTGTGGTCGTAGTCCGTTAGCGATCCAGTGCTCTGAGCAGCACTGTGCACCGAGCTCCGTGTTAGTCGTGGGTCGCACCCATGATGTCACAGTTTGTGAGCGGCGTCAACGATGTCACACTTCCATGGGACAGAACCAGCACTCCAGTTTAGATGGCATCCACCCTGTGCACCATCTGGCTCTGTGGACGTCTCACACCATTATCCCTCTTTTGCGCTGTATGTGGAGCTTGCAGTCTTTCCCCCCAGTTTCTCCAGTACCCCAAGGTGCAAAGACATGCAGTGACACTAACTGGTGTGTCTAAATTGCGCAGTGAGTGTGAATATGACATGTTCCATAAAATGGACCAGCATCCCATCCAGGGTATGCCCTCACAGCCTCATACCCTCTTCAAATCTGAACCTCGCTTCCAAATCCAGGCCTTGTTTTCAGTTCTCCCAGCTAGTTTAATAATTACTGATTCTGATTGGCCGGAGGCTTCACACCTGGCTCACGGGTAAAGGAAGGCTGGAAAACCACCAGTGTTCGGACCTCGAAGGACCGTGATTTGAATATTAGGGCCCTAGGATATGGTCCCGGATAAGCACTCGGAAGATGGACTGATGGATGACAGCCAACGTTAGATTTTAATCCAAAATTTTAACCCAACACTTCAAACAGCCCTAAAAATGAAGGCAGACAGGAAATGGAAAAGAATCCTGTAGTCTCACACCCGATGCCTGAATAAGGAAATTCCCTCTCGAGATTGAAAAGACAAACATTTGTGCTTATCGACATAATCCCCTGCAGGGCAGAGCAGAATTTACTTGGGAGACTGAAATATGCCAACTTTAGCAGTGATCATCCACTGGGAATCGATGATGCATTTTTAAGGCTCTGTATGATTTTCTTCTATATTCCCCAAACCTGTTCAAAAAATAAACGTTACATCCTGTAGAATCCCTAGCTGATTTCTGTGATCACAGTCGCTTCAGTCTTGCTTGCAGTATAAAGAACAAGTGTGTGCATTAAGGACACTAAATGCCTGAAACTTACCATCCGTCACCCTGACAGGTTCTTCATCAAAGTGCCGCTGAGCTAAGGACAATAGATGGTGGGATCAGGGTCACATCAAGGTCATCTATGCCATGCTACGGTAGGAATCCCCACAACCCCACATTGAATAGAAAACGATAGGTAAGAGTTGAAGTTGAAGTGAGGTGTTGTTTCGAGGTGATGATGATGGATGAGGACAGGATGCAAAACTGAAGAGCTGGGTTCTGTCTCCCCACGCTGATCTCAGGCGGCTCACCTGCAGTGCAGCCCTCACACCTCTGAAGGAGAACGAGGACCAGAGAGCCACAGACCAGTGACCCCAGAACGATGACGCTCGCTGTGACGGCTTTGTGGCTCCTTCCTGCTGCCGCCACCTTTTCTTGACCTGCAAACATGTCAAAATTCGCTTCAACCGGTTATTTATAGAAGGTTACTGGAAGACTCAAATTAATCATGCATCCATTTTCTGAAACCGCATATCCTGTTCAGGGTTGCGAGTGGTCCGGAGCCGATCCCAGTGGTTAGAGGCGCGAGGCAGGGAACAACCCAGGACGGGGCGCCAACCCATAACAGGGCAGGGAACAACCCAGGACGGGGCGCCAACCCATAACAGGGCAGGGAACAACCCAGGACGGGGC